AAATGGCTTGAAGGAGATGAGATGGAATAGGATCAAGCGGACAAGTAGTAGGATGATTGGAAAGGATGAGTTTAGAGACTTCTGCTTCAGAGAGTGGAGAGAAGGATGAAAACGAGTGTATGTTTGCTGGTAAGATGTGTTTGACAGTTTGTGGTGTTGCAAATTGTGCACTGAGGTTTGTAATTTTATTAATGAAGAATGTGGCAAAGTCGTCAGCTGTTAAGGCCCTTTCACACGGGATGCGGTGTGAAATTGTAACTTTAAAGTAGTCCATAATCCATAATAATGCTTCCTCCAGTGAATCAAGATAGAAATCTGAACAGATCAAGCACTGTTTACTAGCCAAAACAGTCTAAAACAGCTCTAAACAAATATGTGGGTGGATTTTGATGTGACACCAAGAGCTTGTAACACTTCAAAGAGAAAGGAAAAATTGAAATCGCATCAAAAAGTTCAACTTTGATGGATTTGTTTCTTACAAACACATACCTTTTCAAGTCACAAGATGTTAACTGATGGACTGGAGTGGTGTGGATCACTTGTGGATTATTGTGATGTTTTTATCAGCTGTTTGGACTCTCATTCTGACGGCACCCATTCACTGCAGAGGATCCACTGGTGAGCAAGTGATGCAATGCTACATTTCTCCAAATCTGTTCCCATGAAGAAACAAACTCATCTTCATCTTGGATGGACTGGGCGCGCGCAAATTTTCATTTCTGGGAGAACTATTCTTTTAAGTATTTTAACATAAAAACACACTTCACAGTCATAAATATAGGCTTGCGTTACAAATAAAAGTGTTTATTAAAACATGGTTTGTTTTTGTGTCTCTCTACAGATGGAGGTGGATGTAGCAGATGAGAACCACCATTGCACACGCTCAAAAGGTATTCCCCTTCCAGCACTTACACATGACACACAGATGTAATGTGGCGATATGGTCAGACCGGTCTTTTGTTTCAGTAGTAATCTAATCTTCCTCTGTCCTTTCAACTGACCTCTCACGTCCTCTGTCTTTCTCTGTACTTCTTCACAGTTCCCCTGGAGCCAGCCATACAAGAGTTGTTCAGGTCAGTGTTTTTACAGACTGAATCTCACACACACACACACACACACACACACACACACACACACACACGAGCCCACAGGCTGGCAAAGAGGTCTATACCTGGATAATGGCTGCCAATAAGCAGTGTTGTGATCACGCTTTCCTGATCTGCTATTTTCCTTCCATCTGTCATATCTGTTTGGGTGATGATAAAATAGTGTCACTTTGCTAAGCTGCAACTATTTCTCTGTGCAACGACATATGGCTAATTTCTTTAAGAGCCAAGTAATACAACAATTTCCAATACACACTTTTTTTTCCAAACTTGAAGGTTGTTCTAGACTAATGTGACACTCTACAGCATTTCCCCAAAGTGATGTGAGAACTCAACACCACTAGTTATCATAAATTAACATTAATACATATATTGGGTGCATATTGCCTACTATTATTTGTTTATAGAGCTGAAAAGGCTGGAATTTGGCAGCATATTTTTTGCAAGAAATCATGAGTGGGTCTTCGTTGTGGGATCAGAACTTCTTCACACTTGGCGTCCTAAAAACAATATGTTTCAACCTCAGTATTTGGAGCAGGACATTCTTGCAGACATGCTTTCAACAAGTCTCGAGTGACTTTGTTCTTTAGACTGTGAGCACTTGTAATTCTTTAACCAGTTAATTTGTTCTAGTTATCAAGCAGAGTACAGCATTGGCGATAGCAAGACTAAGGTCATGGGTTTGATTCCCAGGGAATGCATGAACTGATGCAACTGAATTAGATTGTGTTGCTTTGGATAAACGTATCAAATGCATAAATGCATCAATTGCAAATGCATCACATACACTGAAAAAAAGTTTAATTTATTTAAAGTGCATTTTTATATTGAGCTACTCGAAAATCATCGTTTCCGGTTTAAACCTGTTAAGTTCAGCTTGTTTAAAAGTGGGGTTTGTTCATTTTTCTGGTGTAATTTTTTTTGTCGTTGTTAGTACCTAACAGAAAATATGATGAATATTTTACATTGCAGTAAACATTAAGGACTTTCAAAGCTGACCTTAATTATTTTAAGTAAACTAAATTAAACATTGACTAACTAAATGGTTTTGTTTCATTTTAATTGAAAATTCAACTTTTGTATTATAGCAAATGTAAGTTTTGTTTATGAAATATTACATTGACCAAACATTTCTCGATTAATGCGAGCTCATAAAAAACTTTTTTCATACAGTAAGATTTCATACAGTAAATGTGTGTTTCTCCAAGTAAATACCTTTTAAGTGATACAAAGTGCATTTCACAGGGACTTTCTAGGTATTTAGTAAGCATATTTCTATGCATTTCAGTCCTATTTGCATATTTATAGTCCAAAATGCTTTGCAGGCTCATAATTTACCAGTTGGAAGGATGACATGCTTGTCCAGCATTTCAAGATGAGTATTTGTATCTTTGTGCCAAATGCATACATGGCCAGCAAACAATCTCAATCTCTGAATGGACATCTGTTGATGGATTTTTGTCTAATAGCTTTATATTTTTGGCCTAAAAATTAAACTAAAAACTATTCAGGACACCTGTATGTGACAAATAATGGCAGAGAGTTCCCAGTTTATTACAAAAATATATTTAAATTTGTATTGGCATTTTTAGCTTTTCTTAGTTTTAGTGTCTAAAAATGTCTTAATTATTGGAAAAGGCAAAGAATCGAATCTTTTCATACAGCATTTTCAATGGCCCTTGTCTGAATCACACCTGACTTCAGCATCTGACAGCTAGTTTGATTGTCACTGGACGTTTGATGGACAGCTGGTTCTCTGCTGTATTGATTGGCATATCGGAGAAGAAATCCTGGGAATGAAAGGTGGTGAAAGATGGAGGTGAAGATTGCATTACTGTGCACCTGCTCCCTCTCTTTGATGTCACCTCCACCAGCAGCTTAAAGTAGATAATTAAAGATAAATAAAACAAAGGTTCAATCATTACTATCAGCCTCTCTCTCTCTCTCTCTCTCTGTTCCTCTATCTTTCTCTTTCACGCTTCAGATCATTTCTTCTTGAGCTGGTGGCTTCTCATTTGCATGCTTATCAAAGTGTTGACTATCCAACGGGGAGCTGCGGTGCTAAGGTGGGATCATTAATATGTTAATTAGTCCTTTTGACACTTTGCTTAAGCATGTGTACAATGTGCCCCTCATCCGTGACTTCAGTCGCATACTCACTGAATGAGCGCACACTCCCTAAATCCATTCGCCTCTGTTTTATGGCCAATATAAATACTTACAACAGACAAAAAAACAAACAAAAAAAATGTATTAATTGAAGTGGACACTTGTGGGCTAATCTTCCAGTCTACAAAAAAAATATATTGTAATTAGCCTAACACTGTATTGCTTATTGTTGGGGAGTAGCTAACTAAAAGCAGTGACACTAGTACCTTAAAGGGAAGGTACTAGTCAAAAACAAAGATTTGCTGTTAATTTGTTGTTCAAAAGGATGGTTTGTTCATGAACCAGACTTCTCTCGGGACTGTTTACCTGACGCTGTAGATTATAGGTAATAATGTTGTAAATAGTGTTCAATTTCTTGCACAGAGTGATCGTTTTGCTTCATAAGACCTCAATATAGCATCAGCGGTGTTGGGGAGTAACTAGTTGCATGTAACAGCATTACGCAATTTAATTACAAAATAAATTTAATTGTAATCAGTTAAAGTTCCTAAAAACAAATATGTAATTAAATTACAGTTACTTATGAAATGTTAACGATTAAAAAGGGGGAGTGAGGGTTACTTGCACAGCTCTTACTAGTTGCACATGCATAGTTGCACAGGAATAGCTGCAAATATGGCTGCCGGGTAAACAAACATTCCTTGAATGGGACTTTGGAAAAGTCCCGTGATCATTCTGCTGTGAGATCCTACAGTCGAATGTCAGCACGATGGAGGATAAATTAATGTTACTCTGAGAGATTTCCCTGTTCTGTATGATTTTTACATGTCTATTATGCATTATGTATTTCTGTTTTCATTCTAATATGCTGATTTGTATTTGTAATGCTACAAAAGATTTAGATTTCAAATAAATGCTGTTCTTTTGAACTTTCTATTCATCAGTGAATCCTTAAAAATAAAATGTATCACAGTTTCCACAAAAATATTCGGCAGCACAACTGTTTTCAACATTGATAATAATCAGAAATGTTTCCTGAGCAGCAAATCAGCATATTAGAATGATTTCTGAAGATCATGTGACACTGAAGACTGGAGTAATGATGCTGAAAATTCAGCTTTGATCACAGAAATAAATTACATTTGAAAATATATTGAAAATGATAACTAAAAAAGGTAACATCTAAATTAATTGGTTTTATTCAAATGAAAAATATTATACCACTGAATCAACCTAAATACATTAATGAATACAGACCAAACTCATTTTTATGGGTTAAAAAAACTTTTTATTATTGTAATAATATTCCAGAATATTACTGTTTTACTGTGCTTTTTGATCAAATAAATGCTGCCTTGGTGAGCAAATGAGAAAAAATAATTAACTATCCCAAACATCCCATTTGTGATTGTCAAAACACAGTATATGGTCATCTGTGCAGGTCTTCAGGGATCGTTTGTTAGGACAACTAGACAGATGGGCAACCACCAACCAACACAATGATCACAGTTTAACATTGTGTATCTTACACATTTGTGCCATACTTCCACTGGTGGCAAGCAGCTATATGAAAAATATTATACCACTGAATCAACCTAAATACATTAATTAATACAGACCAATTTTTATGGGTTAAAAAAACTTTTTATTATTGTAATAATATTCCAGAATATTACTGTTTTACTGTGCTTTTTGATCAAATAAATGCTGCCTTGGTGAGCAAATGAGAAAAAATAATTAACTATCCCAAACATCCCATTTGTGATTGTCAAAACACAGTATATGGTCATCTGTGCAGGTCTTCAGGGATCGTTTGTTAGGACAACTAGACAGATGGGCAACCACCAACCAACACAATGATCACAGTTTAACATTGTGTATCTTACACATTTGTGCCATACTTCCACTGGTGGCAAGCAGCTATAAAAGGAGCCATTAGCAACACGTAACACACATTTGACAAAAGTTTGCAGTGATCTAAACTCTCAGGTTTCCACTCAGACTCACAGGCCGCCTACTCAGATTCTAGATTACTAGTTTCTCTTCCCCCGCACTCAGTTTACTCCCGGCTGAATGACTGACATGGCTTTGCTCTTGTAGCAGGCAATCAGCGCAGCCATTTGAGGCGGTTGTGGAATTACAGGAGCCTGCAGACAAACTGCTCATCTAGCAGACCTTTGGCTTTGTGAGAAGATGAATGAGGAAGCGATCTAAACTGAGAGGTGGGGTTGGTGACAGGAACAGGTAGTGATCATGAGGGAGATTAGTTACACCCTCCTGCCTGGCCCGACCCCAAAACCCACCTCATGTACCTGAAATGGAATTATACAGGTGGCACGTAACCATGGCGACACAAAAATCTCCAATAATTGTGTGTAGAATGATTGACTTTCCTTCTTAACTAGATTAAAATCTGCAAGTATAGATTCTGAAGAAGCAACACCACAATTATACAAAGCTTGCACTTATGGGTGAATTTCATGAAATGTGTCCAAGTAATATTTCATGCTGAAATCAATAGACAAAATTATATTTTGATTAAATATTTTTTTATATTTATTTGTATACCTATTTTTATAATAAGCTTTTGAGCGTCGCAACATTGCATTGCTACTGTAAAGCAAAAAATGTATAGATTTTTACTACAATATAGTAAAAATGACTGTATTACACAATGAAAATATAGTAGTAATTACAACAAAAATCAAACATAAAAATGTGTGCATTACTGATTTTAAATTATTTTTAAGGAGAAGCCTTAATTGCTTGAAAACTGCTTAATTGTAACGAAAATAATATCACAATCTTAATGGTCCTAAAATAGACATAATTTTCTTTATGCTTATGCTTTATGCTTT